AATAGTTTTTTAATATATATATAAATTAGACAAAAGTTAAACATTTTATTTTTATAGGGGTGAGGTAACAATTTTAGGTGGATATAATCCATTCAACTGGGAGTTACCGAAAGATAAAACTTTTATTGTACAAATAAAAGTTTTATTTCGCGAGTCAATCAAATTTTCATAAAGTTATAGACCATATTTTCATGATGTTTTATATTGTTAAAATTTTAATAGATAATACTAAATGTAGACGTCATTGGCGGCATTATAAAAAACCTGAAGAAATTTTTAAATAGAAAATATGAGGCTTTCCAAGTTTTAAAAAAATGGAATTAAATTTTCAAGCACTTCATTCAATGTAATGATTGAGACGATGCTCAAACGCTCAATTAATTGATACCAAAAATGACGATAAATGATTGATATCATTCAATCAATTGTCATTATGGTTCCAAAAAAAGCAGATTGTCTAACCTTAGCACCCGAAGTTTTAATCCTGAATTTTGGTTCATAAAGCCAACAATTTTACAAATAGCTTTTCGCAATAATAAGCATATTTGCTATATAATTATCAAGCAATAGCCATATTCGATAACACAACAATTAGATTCTTTAATATTAAAATAGAATGACGTCGAGGTATGGTAAAATAGTAAACGTTTGTAATAAAATATATCTACATACATAAAAAAAAATAACAATTTAATAGCTAAAAAGATTGTGAGTGTTTGCTTTTTCATGTTAGTTTCCGAACATTTTTTATTTGCTGCAATAGCAGCATAATAGTATTTGGTAACGACGACATTCTCCCTGGAAACCCATATTATAAAAATGTCTGAGCTTTGGTTATTATTAGCGGTAGATTTAATCAACCAGCGCAGCCTTATGAAAAATCGAAATATAAGTCATAATTAACTCAAAGGATTACAAAAATTCAATTATAAATTAATCTCAATTTGCGAAAATTTCTTATGATAAATTTAATCTAATTTTTTCTCTAGCAAAATTATTTAACGTACAGATTGTAATAATTGTGGTTATGTAAAGAATACAGATGAAATTGTGATAATTTTTCGTATTAACATTTGCCTCCTTAATTTCCTATAATTTTAATTCCAACTTTACAAACAACAGTCAAGAATGTTCATTTTAACTTCAAATCATTAGCTTTGAAAACAAGTATATGCTTTATGGCGTCAGTCACAATTCTAATCGTATAGATATTCATATATATTAATAAAAAGAATTGCCTTATGCCTATTCATTTCAACCCCATTTCCATTTTATAACAATATGCAAGGCTGCTTATTTCATTAGCGCCTTATGCCTGTCTATTTAAACCCAAATTCATTTTAATAAATAGTCAAAGCGTTATTTCATTAGCGCCATATTAGCAGATCTCTGATAACAAATAAATGCTTTATATTCGTCCTTTTAAACTCCAATTCCATGAAGATAACAATATCCAAGTCTTTTTATTCCACTAATATTACCCATATCGGCTGACTTTTGATAATAAGCATATGCATTATGGTTATCCTTTTCAACTCCAATTCCAGCTTCATAGCAAAATCCAAGATTATGCATTCCTGTGTCGCTACCCATTTCAGCAGATTGTTGGTAATAAATGAATGCCTTATGCTCATCAATTTCAACCCCAATTCCATTTTGGTAACAATAACCAACTTGATTCATCCCAACAGCATGGCCCATATCAGCAGATTTTTGATAATAAGTGAGTGCCTTCTGTTCATCTTTTTAACTCCAATTTCATGATGATAATAATAACCAACTTGATATATACCATCAGTATTGCCTATATTAGCAGATTTTTGATAAAATATAAATGCCATATGCTCATCCTTTTCAACTCCAATTCCGTTTTCATAACAATATCCAAGATTGTATATTCCACTAGCAGCAGATTTTTGATAATAAGTAAATGCCTTATATTTATCCTTATCAACAACAATTCCTTTTTTATAACAATATCCAAGGTTGTTTATTCCTATAGCATGGCCCATTTCTGCTGATTTTTGATAATAAGTAAACGCCTTATTGTTGTCTTTTTTAACTCCAATTCCATCGCGATAACAATCACCGAGGCAATTGATTCCATATGAATCTCCCATATCTGCCGATTTTTGATACCAAATAAATGATTTATGATAGTCTTTTTCAGCTCCATTTCCATATTGATAACAACTACCGAGATCACACATTCCATTAGAATTTCCCAACTCAGCTGATTTTTGATAATGAGTAAATGCCTTATAATCATCCTTTTTAATCCATTTTCCAACATCATAGCAAATTGCAAGAATTTGTTGAATGACAGAATTATTTTGAACAATAGGATTTGTTTGGTTGTTTAAACATAAGTTGATTATTTCTTCTGGTTTTTGCTGCAATTTTGCAATATGCTCATCTATTGAATAAATTATTGAGTCGTTGTAATTTCCTTTAATAATTTCTTTATTATATAATTTACATAATTCTTCTATGATCGAATTTAAAAAAAAATCTTGTGAATCATTCAACGATAAATATGCTAATTTTGAAATGTTAGTAAGATTATCTTTGTAAGTGTTTGACAAGTCTTTCTCGTTCGACATGATTTCAGATGTGTAATCAAAATTATAAGGCATGTTACGTAAGTGCGTACGTACGGTTAATTTATGTAATTACTTGTTACACGCATTTTTGTACTACTTAATGAATTAATTTTATGGCTTTTAGTATAATTGAGCATCCAACTAAATTAATATTGCGATTGTGAAATACTGGCACGATGCTAAAAAGATAGCGTGATATCTTTGATAACATATACACAGTAGGTTCCAGAAAGTGTGCCTTTCATACTAATTAAAATGTATAAAAGCAAAGCATCTATTTTTAATAAAGTTGAAAAATCCCGAGTAACATAGTCACAATGATTATTTTCTATCCTTAAAATTTTCAACATCATTAGCTCACCCTTATTGAATTATTATGCTCATTAGAAGCTTTGTATAATTCAATTCATATAACATCCAGTGGCGGCTGGAGATACACTACGCATTATTATTCGTTGTTCTCTCAAACCAGCCGTTACACTACAAAAAGATTAGAAGCAAGCGATCAATATTCACCGAATGTGCCTTAACCAATAGTGCCGGATAATAAACTTATATTAAATTGCTTCAACAACGCATACAACAGTGAAGTTCATGAATAATTGAATCAATGGCTTGTAGATTATCCTACCTTCATAAAACAGGTCGATTGTTGATCAGAGGTTTTGCAGTAGAATTAGTGATGCATAAAATTAGCCTGTGGCTCCGTCTACTGAGAGAAGAAAACCAAGTGTGAATATAATTCGCCTTCCAAGGCTCTTGCCGGTACTCCACCTTATATTGTGCCATGTTATTGTTTTGTCAAATACGTAACCTAAACCAGCATTTCATTAAATGTTACTTTACTGTCCTCTTGTAATCTAGGAATCACATTTATAGAATTTTCTTGTTGGTATTAGGCTGTCTTCTTCTTGTTATATAATTATTCATGTGATAGTCAACATGTTAAAACTTCACTGCTTTGTCTGTCTTTTCTACTTCTTGAATTCTAATTAACTCAAAAAGTATTACACTGTATATTGTTAACGGACCCCATGACGACACGATCCGGAAAATGTGTATAAAAAAAAAAAGAAAGAAAAAAAAATGTGTGCCACCCGTATGGAAAATTATGGCTCCGCCCCGAATGAGCACAGATCAGGCTAAGCCTCTAAAAGCCTTAACTGGAACATGAGGGATGATGATCTGACGATTGTCGACGGGTGATAAGCAAATCGGGTAAAAGGTGTGCAGTGTGAGAACGCCACTGACATTGTCGTGGGAAAGAAGGTAGATAGAAAGGATGTAAAAATGACGTGATGAGATGAAGGGCGAGGATTTGTATTTTGGTTTTTTTTTTTTTTTTGGTTCTTTTTGTTCTTTTCGTTTGGTATAAATAGAGTAGCGAATCGTCCAAGTTGTAAAAGTAGTAAAGTTCGAGATTCGAACAATAAATACTTTGAGTTTGTTAAATAAAAACATTTCTTTTCTGCTCTAAGCGTATATGCCGAAAATCATACTCATGACAAACCAAATTGCCTTAGCTTGCCAAATCTCTTTCGCCTCTCCACTATTTTAGTTTTGTTTCGTGGTGGTTAGTTTTTGTGTGTGTGTAGTTCAGTGTTGGCCGATGACCTAAGTCATAACTTTTTTTCTATATGACCTTGGTCATATAATCATATGACTTTTGGTCATAGTCATATTGGTCATATTAAATGCTAACAAAAAAACTTTTACTATGATCCTTACTATATCTATATTAAAAAAGGTCATAAGTCATATCAATCCTCGTTATGACCGAATGACCTATAGGTCATATAGGTCATTTAAGATCATAGGCCAACACTGGTGTAGTTTGAGTGGTAACTATCCCGACCCGTTTCATCCTTTCTAACAATACGCGTAATTAATGCTCATTAAGTGCAATTCAACCACTAATTTATATACAGTTTTTTTTTAAATAATAAAGTTATTACTTTATCGCGGTTTTCGAAATAGTATAGAAATAGTAGAAATTAGAGCAAAGGAAATTTTATATATATATACTCATATACCGAATTACTTTAGCACTAGAAGATCGATACTTGACTTATGTACTTATTATTTTACCAAAACAATTACAGTATGTCAAAATAGACGTGGCAAAAAAAAAAAAAGTAATCAGAATATAAGGATCTCTTTTTTTCTTATACTCTTTATACACTTTTACTCACTCACTCACTCAAACTTTTACCTACATAATTTCACTCATATATTTCACATACAAACTTTTACTTCTGTACTTACACCATTTATGATTTTCATATACACTTTTTTTTTATTAAAAAAATTACTTTTTTGTTTTTATTTCGTTGCTGATATGCTGTGATTAAAATTTAAATAATGATTTCCTGTTAATATATTAACACTATGCTGGTTTCAGGCTACACTTTTAACAATAGTAAGCACAGTGGATACATGTGATTCATCTAGGGTGACTGTTTGAAAACCGTTGGAATGGTTTTCAGGGCATAGGCTCTCACTATTGTTGTGTGGGCAAGCGTCTTGTGGGGCATTCCAGGCTACTTTGGAATTAAAAAATTTTATATTTTTATTGAGTCAAAAATTCATCTCTATCTAGAGTTTGATTTGTTTTATTTCTTTTATAAATTAAAACTTATAAGAAACTAAAATATCTAAACTCATCGATTGGTTTAGTGCTAGGGATGGAAAATGTTTTAAAATGGAATGTTTTAAAACATGTTTGTTTGATTTAAAACAGTTTGAATGATTTAATGCATACTGTAAATGTGTACAAGATTATGTCAATCACCGAATCGAAAAAACTTCAAGTGCAAATTTTAATTTACTTTATATTCAATATTTAGATATATCCATATATCTAAAATTCGTGCTGAAAACTTTTGCTTAGAAGTCAAACTACGGTTATCATAGTAAAATTTTGAGTTATTTACGGTTTTTCTGTTTTCTTAGATAACTCAAAATTTTACTATGATAACCGTAGTTTGACTTCTAAGCAAAATTTTCAGCATGAATTTTAGATATATGGATATACCTGAATATTGAATATAAAGTAAATTAAAATTTGCACTTAAGTTTTTTTC